TGAGGCCAGGGAGGTTGAGTCATCAGTTAGAGATGCGGAGTGGCTCTGCCAGGGGAAATGACTTTCTTTCCCTTCTGCAAAGAATCTGACAGAAGAGAGGGAGGGAGGCTCTGTGGACTTAGTAGGTGGCTGGAAGGACAGGAATGGGACAATCTAAAAGAAGGGGAGGGGGAAAGAAAACAGACACACGTGAAAACCGACATTGTGGGCAGCCATGTGTGGTGAGTGCCGGATGCTTGACCCTAATTCAGAAACCATGAGGAAACCAGCAAAATGATTTAGAAAGGATAGTGTGGCCCTAATGACAGGAAGGGAGGGCAGTCCCTTGGCTGGAGAGTCTCAGCGGCAGGGCCTTGGGCAGACCGACTGGCAGTGATGATCTCTCCGCGACCATGTTCGAAAGCCAGAAATCCATGGCGACAGGAGGTCCCATGGAGGATGTAGGGAAGAGGAATTAGAAAGCAAACCCCAGCACAGCAGGCCCCACGGGTTTTCTGTGGACTGAGGACCAGTGAGTTGCGCCCGCTGTGACCTATGGAAATGACCCATTTTCCAGATCTAGTGAGAGGGCAGAGACCCAGGGGCTGCATGGTGGGGACAGAAAAGGACAGGGTTGGGGCGGCACTGGCCACCAAGTCCCCCCACCAAACCCAGTCCTCCTCCAACGTGGAGGTTGGGAACCAGGGCATACACCCAACTGTGCTTCATGACTGTGACATTCCTGGTGGCACTCCTGGTGGCAGAGAAACCCCCTCCTGCTGACAAATGGTCTCTCGTGCAGCTCCTGCTAGGAAACCTGGAGGCCCGAACTGTTGATGACAGTGTTTCCCTAAAATGTGCCCATAGGCCATGTTTTCAAGCTTCTGCCTTTGCTGTTTCTCTGCCAGCATTACCCCCTATGAAAAGAGAGAAAAAGGAAAAACGTTCCCAAGTGCCCTCCTCCCTCCCTGTCTGCTTCCTTGATAGGAAGTATGGTAACGAGATTCCTGTCTGGAAGCCCCGTGTCCGTCCAGACTCTCCTCTGAGCACCCCGCACTCAGGCTCACATGTAGCCCCTCCTTGGTCCCCGGCCTTCACCTCCCACATACTAGGTAAAGCCAGCGTCTTGGGGAAAGTGGCTAAAAGAGGGGAACAAGTTATTTTGGTAATAAAAATATGAAACCATCTGAAAAGAAAAATGAAATAAGCTCATCTTTATGGGAATGTATAGAGTAAAGCCCGTTTTTGCTAAAAAAAAAAAAAATTCTTGGAATTTATCAAATTTGGATTTATCAAAATTCTTATAGCTGAGAATACTATTTCTTTAAATAAGAACACAATCCACTTAATCTGGCTGTTGTTTATAGAGTTAAAACCAACCTAAGTGAGCCTTGCTCAGAGGGCATCTCCTGAACACGCAGGGTGGGAAGGCGCTGTCCGGGCTTGGCTGTGCGGGCTCTGGCTTAGGACGGCAGGGAGAGAGCTGACCCCATTCACACCATCAGTGTCAGCCGAACGTGCATTGTCTCTTTTCCCACTTTTCTGGCAAAGCTGTCATTGGTATGTTTCAGTTTGGCCCAGGGTGTGGAACTGGTTACATATGGTCCCCATGCCTTGAGGAAGTCTGGAGAGAGAAGGCATGAGAAGAGAAGGAAGAGGAGAAGCAGGGGGAAAGTCAGGCAGGAAAGGAGGTGGAGCGAGACAGTAGTGGGCCTGTGACTGATGGTGTAGGCCTGCTGGCGCCTGCATGGGTCCCCTGGCTACCTCCGCCCAGGAAGTGTGCTGTCTCGGGGGATGCTACACGATAGGGTCAAGTTGCTCTATCTGCTGGGTCTGGGACTTGGGCAGAGCGCTGGAAAAACAGGCCTGACCCAAGTGGCCAATTAAACTTTCCATTGGCAGAGATTGAACTAAGAGTTGAAAAAAAATACATGAAATCTTTCCATTTGAGTAGTTTGTTTTTTAATGAAATGAAACATTTACTGACATAAGCTCCACAGAGCAATAGGAGAACGCTTAATTAAACTCCATGGTGCCATTTTGGACAGTCTCATTGCCAGAATAAAGCATTAGAAGGCGTTTGGGGCCCAGGGGGTAGAGTGGAGGGGAGGTGAAACCCCTTCCAGAAGAGCCTTCCAAGGTTCAGACCTTCTGCCCTTCTTTCCTCTCAGTTCCTAAAGGCTCCTGGCAGGGGCGGGACAAGGGGCATTTCTGCAGGTTCGGGCAGCATGGCTTCCGAGATATGAAACCAAAGCCTGTAGTCAAACACAAAGCAAAGGCTTTAGAGAGTGCCATTCCTCATACGTGAGGACACTGGCTGCCTAACCTTTCTGGGTGAGCTGGAATGTGGTCGCTGCCATCACTCAGGCCAGAGCCTCACAGCCAAAACTCTTGGGACCGGATGTGCCCAAGAATCAGACTTTTTTCTTTTTATTTTTTAAAGATTTTATTTATTTATTTGTCAGAGAGAGAGAGCGCACGCGCGAGAGTAAGCACAGGCAGAGAGGCAGGCAGAGACAGAGAGAGAAGCAGGCTCCCTGCGGAGCAAGGAGCCCGATGTGGGACTCTATCTGAGGACGCTGGGATCATGACCTGAGCCGAAGGCAGCCGCTTAACCAACTGAGCCACCCAGGCATCCCGAGAATCAGACTTTTTTTGAAAGAACATCCATAGTGGGGCGCCTGGGTGGCTCAGCCGGTTGGTCCTCTGCCTTCGGCTCCGGTCATGGTCTCGGGGTCCTGGGATTGAGCCCCACCATCAGGCTCTCTGCTCAGCGGGGAGCCTGCTTCCCCCTCTCTCTCTGCCTACTTGTGATCTCTTTCTCTCTCTGTCAAATAAATAAATAAAATCTTTTAAAAAAAAAAATCCATACTGTGCATAGACCAGGTAACATCCTCGAGTCTGAGGCCACACTCCATATTCAAATAAGATATTATCACTTCTATAGCAGTATGGATGAATACATAAAAACAGTAAACAGCCTTGGGTTATATGGCCAAATGGGGTCAGTTCAGACCTGTTTTGCTGCCAGGTGAGTTACCAGAACTTCGTGTTTCCAGAGCCTGTTGGGTTTCAGGATGGTGGATAAGGAAATGCTGGTCCTTGTCCCTCACCCAGTTTGTCCAGAGCACCATAGGACATTCTGCTAGCAGCAGCGTGTTCTTCCGCTTGCTCCCAGCTCCCCGCCCCCTCCGAGTTTTCCGAATGAGTCTTCAGCGGTTGGAGGAGGATTTCAGCTAATTAGCCTCAGAGCTGACCCAACACCCAACTGCAGAGGGCGCCTGTGAAGTCAGGCAAAGCGTGGAGGCAGGGGGCCCATGCTGGTTCACTAAAGCCCTCTCGCTAAACTAAGGGTCACTCCCAAAACGTGAGCAAGTTTCTGTTGGAATAATCACATCAAAGGCCAACTTCAACACAGCAGGAATAATGATACATGGATCTTATCACAAGAAGTTACAGTGGCAGAGAATAAAAAAGCATCCCAAAAAGGCTCATATACACATGTGACTGACCGCCTGGGAGCCAGGATAAACCCAGTTCCAAAAGTAACAAGAAAACAAAGAGAATGGCAACAGACCCCAAAAGTCAGGACGGGGTTGTGCTCTGGGCCCAGCTCCCCCAGAGTTGAAGGGAGCTGCTACGCGCAGACGCTGTGGTCTTCGGCTGACATCCCTGAGACCTAGGGGAAGACGTCTATCTAGGTTTCTGTATGGCTTGAAACCAGGTTCTTGATTTTGTAAATAAACCAGGCCAGGAGTTGGGGAGGATTCTGGATTACAAGCTTGGGGCTAAGGAGCAGCCAAAACATACAAGTGCTTGGCGGGCAGTGGCAGAAGGCAACAGGGCAGGAAGAGGAAGGAGAAGTAGAGAAGAGTGTCTGGCAGTGATTGGGAGAGGGGTAGGGACATTCACCTCACCCCCACCTATGGTATTTCATGCCCCGTCAGGAAGGCCAGCACGCAGGGAGGCTGCCTTCTCCCCCAGAGGTCTCCCGTTTGTGTTGGGCAGCCTGAGGTTTCAACATGAGGCAGCTCCCCCGGAGGGTCACAGAGGTCTCAAATGATAAATGGCCTGTCCAAGGTCATCAGTAAACACGGGCCCCGGAGGCGCCCTGCCTCCCCATCAAAGTCACCAAATCCCGGGGCACCTCGGGGTCACTGGGCCAGACGGTGCCCAGCCATGGGGACACAATAGCAGATCTCAGCTGGTGGGGTAGAAGCTGGCCCGGGTAGAAGCCAAACAAATTTAGGAAGTTCAAAGATGGAGTTCATAGATGCTATAAACACGGGATAGTGTATTTTTCATTCCACGGATTTCTTTTCATTTATTTATTTATTTATTTATTTATTTATTTTTGGTCTGACTCATTCATAGTTTTTGATTGGTTTAATTGAATTGTAATTTACATACAACAGAATTCAACCATTTTAAGAACAGCGCTTTGACAAGCAGAAAGGGCCCCACCACCACATGCAGGATACAGAACAGGAGCTGGCAGATTACCTTATGTGGGCCAAATTCAACTCCCACCTGTTTTTGTTTTGTATATTTTTTAAGGGCTATTCAAAATAATACTATGCGACAGAGATCATAGGCAGCCCACAAAGCCTCAAATATCTGCTCTCTGACCTTTTACAGCAGAGACTGCTGACCCCTGACCCTTGGCAGCCACTCCCCTCCCCTCGCCCCTGGCAACGACTCATCTGCTTTCTGTCACTGTAGCTTTGCGTTTTCTAGAACTTCACATAAATGAAATCATACAGTCCGTTGCCTTTTGTGTCTGGCTCCTTTCGGGGACGACGCTTTCGAGATTCATCACCCAGCTTTTCCGCATGCAGTCGCTGCTCCTTTCTGAGCTGGGACTGGGGGCGGCGTCCCATGAAGGGCGGGACTCCCCGCGCCCCCGCGCCCCCGCAACCCTCCCCACCCCCGGCAACCCTCCCCACCCCCTCGCGGCGCGCAGGCTCTGAGCGGAGGAGAGGGGCGCGGCGGGGCGGCGCACTCACGGCCTTTTCTTGCAGGCATGAACAACCGGGAGGTGCTGGAGCAGGTGGAGCGCGGCTACCGGATGCCCTGCCCGCAGGACTGCCCCATCTCTCTCCACGAGCTCATGATCCACTGCTGGAAAAAGGACCCGGAAGAGCGGCCCACCTTCGAGTACTTGCAGGGCTTCCTGGAAGACTACTTCACCGCCACAGAGCCCCAGTACCAGCCCGGTGAAAACCTGTGAGGCCGGGGTCCGCAGAGAGAGGCCTTCTCGGCGAGGCTTCCCCGCCCCCTCCCCATTAGCTTTCAGTTCCGTAGCCAGCTGCGCGAGCAGTGCGAGCCGTCCCGGATCAGATTGCATGTGACTCTGAAGCTGACGAACTTCCATGGCCCTCATTAATGACACTTGTCCCCAAATCCGAACCTCCTCTGTGAAGCATACGAGACAGAACCTTGTTATTTCTCAGACTTTTGGAAAATGCATTGTATCGATGTGATGTAAAAGGCCAAACCTCTGTTCAATGTAAATAGTTACTCCAGTGCCAACGACCCTAGTGCTTTCCTTTTTTTAAAATGCAAATCCTATGTGATTTTAACTGTCTTCACCTGATTCAACTAAAAAAAAAAAAGTATTATTTTCCAAAAGTGGCCTCTTTGTCTAAAACAATAAAATTTTTTTTCATGTTTTAACAAAAACCAATCAGGACAGGTGTTTGTTTTTTTTTTCTTTTTTATAATATGAATATATATCATATATATGTCCCTGTACATACACCATGTGGGTGCTAACGTGGAGACCATGGCCCACCTGGGCCATAAAGCCTCGGGACCCAGAGTGAGGATTTTACTGCCAAATCAGCATAAAAGCACTGGTATCATTCTGCAAACCAGTGGCCTCCTTTTTGGCTTTTGCAAAGCATGATCCTTTTTCTTTTTTCTTTTTCTTTTTTTTTTTTTTTTTTTTTAATTTGGATTGCACTATTTTGGTTCATGATTGTACCTGTAGATGGCTGTTCCTTTGACTCTTTCCAAGCAGCCCCAGAGCTGAATTCACAAGTTCTGTTTCCAGTATTTGCTTTGTCTTAACTGCGATCTGTTCTCGAAGCCTAAAAGCATATTGAAGCAAGCAAATGGCCAATAACTACCAGGGGAACTGGAAGATGGATACCACACATACTTCTTGTATAAAAATATGAATGCTGAAATGTTTCAAACTTTTTTTATTTAATAAACCTTGTAACCACATTTAAATGGTCTAAAACCCATAGCATTAGAATCATGGCGACCTGCTAAACTTTCTCATGCAACTAAAATTTCTGAGGGTGGGGGTTGGACATTTCCCATTGTAAAATAAGTGTTTTAAACGTTCTGTACTGCTAATGAAATGACTTTCTCTATGTCCAAGAAGTCTCCAGTGGAATAACTATGCACTACTTTACATTTCATGGGGATGCACCAAAAAAAGAAAAAAAGAAAAAAAAATTACATTTTTAGTTGCTGTTTGTACCAACCTTGAATTACATGTTTAACAACAACAAATCAAAAAGCCTATTTCTATTAAGTTTTTAATACTGGGTAGCGACTCTGAAGTCTTAATTCCTTTTTTGTTATGATTTATTTGTGAGTTTACATTTTTAAATTGTTTAACTTTCTTAATTTAGTAATTAAAAAGAGAGCATTTTACATTTGAATTTTTTTTTGCTCATTTGTTTAAAGCATGGAAGGTACTCTAGTAATGACATATCTGTCCCACACCAGGTGATAAGGAGTTCTCTGGTCCATTTAACCATTGTACAGTGACTTCCAAGTGACAGAAACATTCAGAACATTAGGAGTGGGTTCTTCCCCCTAGAAAGGATGGGCCATTGTTGAGCTATTTCAGAGGATTATTAAAGCAAGCTTAAGCATACTTTCACGTTTCAATCTATCAGACATCATCTCTAACTGGAATGTTCTGTATTCCACCTGTAGGAGAAAGACAATTACAAGAAGAATCTTTATTGCCCTAGAGCCAGTGTATGTATTTCCCGTGGTCCTCTACCTCTGTCAGCGTGTCACTAGGCAGGGAAACAACCACATGTGGTAGGAGGGGCAGTGGGTAGACTGCACTATCTGTCCAGGTGCCTGGCTGTGCACTCATTCAGCTGTGGGACCCTCAGCAGCCATCTGACGCCTCTGTTTTGGGTCCCGTCTGTAGAGATGAGGGGGTTGGATGAGATTTGCCATAGGTTCCTACAGATCTAAGATACTGTAATTCGGAGATCATTGCTGTCATGTGGAGTTATATAAGCAGGAGAGTTTTCTTGCCAAATAACCTTTATATTTAGAAAGGGTTTCCAACATTTTTAAAAAATGGTTGAAACAAAGGGATTTTCTAGTTTACCAAGTCTTTCTGGTATTGTTTTTGGTATTAATGCAATTGCTAAATTGATTTTTAAAAAAAAATCAAACATCTTCAACAATTACTATCACATTAGCGGGCAATTTACTAACATGTTCTAGATATTTTTAAAGATAACTTTGTTTTTCATCTTCACATTTCACTAGGATGGATAATTTGCAAATATTCTCCAGAGGATTGTTATTTATGTTTCTGACTCGGTCATTCAAAAAAAAAAAAAAAAAAAAGTTACAACCTGCTTTAAACAGAGATTCTTTAAGACAAAATTTGGTTTCTTCAAACCAAAGTGTAGCCTTTAACACATCAGTTGAGTTTGTTGTGGATTCTTTCCTATGAAGCAGAACCAAGGACTTGGGTTAACTCGAGGGCAATCTGACAAAATGCTCTTGAACACGGTGGGGCTGTAGGATGAGAGAGTAGCTACAGATACAGAGACATCAGAGACGTTTTCAGGGTTTTTCTTCCAGAAGCTACTGTGCTGCCCAGAGATATTCCTGCGTTAGACCAGTCGAGGCAAATGAAAACGCCTGCGGGGGTTCCCAACACCTCCAAGAAGCCTCCCTCCCCCACCCAGGCTGTAGAAGTGTGGAGTGAGGCAACTGAATTCACTGACCAGAAAGATGTCTGGCTAAGAAAGAAAAACACGGGCATACCTCAGAGATAGTGCAAGTTCCAACCCAGACCACCTCAATAAAGCAAGTCAAATGGAGGCTTTGGTTTCCCAGTGTATAGAAGAGTGATGTTTACACGATACGGTAGTTTACTAAGTGTGTGTGCAAGAGCATGTCCAAAAAAAAAAAAAAAAAAAAAAAACATGAACTTAATTTTAAAATATTACTAAAAAATGCTGATTCGCATCTGAGCTCTCAGTGAGCGGGAATAACTGACCACAGCTCATCAACAAATAGAATAACGAGAAAGGATGAAATATCGTGAGAATTAGACGGAGCCCTGCGGAGTGAGCCCCTTCCCTGCGGTTGGAACCCTGTCGCTGAGAGACTTGCTGGACGCCGGGAAGCCACAAGCTTCCATGTGGAAGAAACACGGTATCAGCGAAGCACCGTATAACGAGGTATGGCTGTGACCTTAGCCGCAGGTGATGGTGAGATTTTTTTCTTTGGGAGCCTGCTAGTCAGTACTCTCTCTGTTGCCTTAGGAGAGCGGGCTTCCGGCATTGCTGCACTGCAGAGGGGGACTTCTTAATACACTCTTTTTTTATTTTCTCAAAATCGAATAATAGAGCGACTGGAGAAGACCACTTGACAAAGCTCAGACGCTGAAAATGTGACAACACGACGGGCATTCACCCACGCCCACAGCAGCTCACGATCTCCCAGGCGCTTCGTCCGTGGTGCCCTGGTGGGCTGGGAGGACCCGCAAGCCAGGAGGGGCTGCGGGGCCTCCCGTGGGTTCGGGCCCCCGGGTGTAGGCCGAGCTAATGATGCATTTATTTGGCTCTGACTCAGTCGTGGCAAAGAAAGGTGTATGGGGAGCCAGGCAGCTCCCCCAGAGAAGTGAAGGGTATTCATAAACCCTAAATACAGCCACACTACTGAAGATTTTCTGACAGGTGCCAGAGGGTGTTTACCCGCCTGGAGAAAGACAGGAATCCTCCTGTGGTTAAATCTTGGCACCAGAGGATTTTTCTAGTAGTGTTGGAGCTGCAGAATTTTTATCTGAAATTTCCTCCGGGACCTGAAGAATGTATACTGCACTAATTGGAATGGTTCTTTCACGAGTCTTGAAAGAAGGTGAGGTTTTCGCGGTATGCCGAGGGGGAACAACAAGGGAGCCTACCTCCGGAGGGATGTCATCTGTCCCTGTGTCAGTGCTCAGGACAAAGGAGCCTCGCTTGACAGAAGAGGCTAACAAGTTATATTTGGATAAAATGGTGTTTGGTCCTTTTGTTCCTGAAATGTAGTATAATAGGTTTAGATGGCTTTTGTTGGCTTTCTTATCACTAGATACTATGCTGTGGGGATTCAGTTAGGCTGCCCAAAATATTTGCTGGAAGGAAGAAAGGGAGGGAGAGGGGGGCAAAAAGAGGGGGGAAAAAAGAAGGAAAGAAAAAAATAATCTGGGGGTAGGGAGAAGGGAGCTCAAAAATATCTTCTTCTAAAAATGAGACTGGGGTACAGATTTAACGAGTACCAGTAATGTATGTTTAATTCTCAAAAATAGGTGACAACTACAGCAAAGAAAACAAAAATTAGTATCTTTAATATCTTTGAAATCTCAAATAGACCTTCATAATGTATCTGTACCTATCTTCCCAGAAACCTTTCATAATAAGTTCCTAAATCATGCCTCATTCTTTTCCAACATGCAAAATATCCAGAATCCTATGGGGGCAGGGGGAGACATGCCTTTATTTTCAAAATTCTAAAGACTGAACATAAAAATAAGCCTTTTCCCAGCTTGGCAGGGACTAGTCCAAGGAGAATGTGATCGGCGACAAAACGACTACTCCTCCAGCAGCCAGAACACTGTGCTCTCTTTCGGAGTAACTATTACTCCTTGTAATACTGTGTTTAATAATATGACTCTTCTTTTAATGCATCTTTCCTGCCGGAGTGTGAGTTCCTTGGGCACGGTAACTGCCTAACTGGTTCACCAGTCTTCTCCCCACACCAAGAGCAATGATAAGCTGCTGGTAGACATTGGATGGATGGATGGATGGATGGATGGATGGTGGCTGAATGGCCACCCAGGGGGTGTGACTGACCTGAAAAGGATGCACCGACCTGGGCCAGTGCCAAGCATGCTGGGATTTGCTGTGAGCTGCTCCATGTACTTGCCCTGCCCCCTTGCAAATGTGTGGTCGCCAGTCCTCAGTATGTGATTTAAAGACCCAGTCTGGAGCCTGAAGGGAACCCCATTAGTGCTTCCCAAATCTTTGCCCAGAACTCACCCCAACACTAATGGGAATAAACTTGTCTGCCCTGGGACCTGGGGCCTTTCAGGTCTCATTCTAACTTTGTACTTTTATGAAAATTTGATATTCTCCCTAGGATATCCCATTTTTTATCTTCACATAAAATTATTTTCCCAGACCTTCAGGTTGTGCATTGTTAAGCAGACCACAGCTTATAGGATTCCTGGCACACTCCTGCATGACCCAGGCAAGACCTGCATCCTGCTTGAGAATCACAGCATGAAGATATTGTCCATAAAATATTACTATTAACCTAAAAAGAATGTATTTGGGAGAGGTGACATTAACCCCATTAAAATGGATTCTCTTATCTG